TCCCATCCGTTGATACGCTCTTCCACTTTAACGACAAGTTTATACATCAAATAAATGGTTTAAATAAAACTATTTGACAGGTAATATAGTTAGATTAGAAAATTAAATGTTGAAACATGTAGACAACTACAGTTGTATATGTATTATTGTTCGAGTGGGTTTAATTAATTGTATGTGAAATGCAAACAGGTACTTGTTATTGGGTGAAGCATGTTGCCACCTTGGCCTAATGGAGGATGCAATGGTTCTTCTTCAAACGGGGAAGCGTCTTGCAAGCGCCACATTCCGGCGGGAGAGTGTGTGCTGGTCAGAAGATAGCTTTTCTGTAACTAACATCTCCTTCACCGGAGACGCCACAAACGCGCTACCCACGACTCCGTCGCGGACCCTACTCGCCGACTCCGAGACCGTGGTGAACCAACTCCTCGGCCACATAAAGTTCCTCCTCCGCCGTCGCTCCGCGGCACTGGCTGCCCTCGATGCCGGGCTCTACTCGGAGGCCGTCCGCCACTTCTCGAAAATCGTGGACGGCCGCCGCAGCGCGCCACAGAGCTTCCTCGCGGAATGCTACATGAACCGTGCCTCCGCGCACCGCTCCGCCGGTAGAATCGCAGAGTCAATCGCCGATTGCAACCGCACCCTTGCCCTGGACCCCACTTGCGTTCAAGCCCTCGAAACCAGAGCCTCGCTCTTTGAAACCATTCGCTGCCTACCCGATTCTCTGCACGACCTCGAGCACTTGAAGCTCCTCTACAATGCAATCCTGCGTGACCGCAAGCTTCCCGGTCCTGCGTGGAAGCGCCACAACGTGCGCTATAGGGAGATTCCAGGGAAACTCTGCGCCCTCACCATTAAAATTCAAGAACTCAAGCAGAGGCTGGCTTCCGGTGAAATTGGGAACGTTGACTACTATGCTTTGATGGGTGTCCGACGTGGGTGTTCGCGTTCGGAGCTGGAGAGGGCTCACCTGTTGTTAACCTTGCGGCACAAGCCTGATAAGGCAACGGGTTTCATCGAAAGGTGCGAGCTTGCGGACGAGCGTGATGTTGAGTCCGTTAAGGAGAGGTCTAAGATGTCAGCATTGTTGCTGTATAGGTTGATTCAGAAGGGTTATACCAATGTGATGGGTTGCATCATGGATGAGGAAGCTGCTGAGAAGCAAAGGAAGAAAGCTGCTTTGCAAGCTATTCAAGTGCAGAAAGAGAAAGCCAATGAATCTGAGTGTAACAAGGGGGAGAGTATTCAGAGTAACAGGAGCAGCGTGGAAAATATTCAAACGTCTCAGAATAAGTCTGTGGTATTTTCTTCGACTGTGAATCCCGCCGTGTTTCAGGGTGTTTTCTGCCGTGATCTTGCGGTGGTGGGGAGCTTGCTTTCTCAGGCGGGGTTTAATCGGTCAATGCCGGTTAAGTATGAAGCGTTGAGCTGTTGATTAATTAAATTGAATTGAAATGAAGTTCGTCGGAAATGGTAATATTTGGTGGGTGGGGGGGCTGGTGGAGATGTTACCGGCAGAGGGAATCTCTGGTTCGTTCGTTCACTTTATTGTACAAATTATGCAAAGGAAAATTAAAAGTATTTTAGACTGCCGGAAAATTTTGTCACCTTTTACTTTTTATCCTTTATTAGCCATCTTTTTATTATCTATCAGATGTACAGATTATCAGTACTGAATGAAGACTCTACTTTCGGATTTTGGCTTTGCCTTGCTTGGATCTTCCTCTTTAATTTCGTATATAAGTGATGTTGGTTTTGATTAACGGTAATCTTGTGCTTCTAATGGACATGGAAAAAAAATAGATTCTATGTTTTGTTAGGTTATGGAAAATAAAGGCTTTTACTGTTTGTTGTCGTGCCAGTAGCGTGGTACAGTAACTGAAACCGATTTCCTTTTTCCCGTTGTCCCTATGTGCTTGCTTTCCATATTTCTCAGCAATCTATCAGGAAATCTGGCGTTCCATTAAATCTTATTCATTTTTATGTCCACCAAAAATTTGCTACGCCCGAGTTTTGGGTTAAAAAAGTCTCAAGATTTTATGCTTTTTTATGGTCTTGGTTACTCATTCTTCTTTGCGCTTACATTGGCTTGTTCTTTTTTCATGAGGAAGGGTTGGAAAAGCACTTGCTGTGGATGGGAGAGTGTCCATTTCATGGAACATGACTTTGAGGTACGTGAACGTGGTCATATTCTAGTGGAGGACAGTTTTGAAGTGAACAGAAAAAAGGGTTTGTCAGATTTTTCTTTCCTTCCCCTTCAGCCTCAGGAATACAACAAAAGAGCAAGGGGGTCTAATCTGCACTCAATACGAGAAAACAAAGGGATTAGATAGAAAATGTCATTAACTTTATTCGCTCTGTACATATGTTCCGTACTGCTTTTTATTTTTATGGTTGGGTAAGTTGCTATGTTTCTTATGAAACGAAGTGTAGGTATTAGCAAGTCTGAGGATGTTGGTGGTGTTGTTGCATTGGACCATTGGTACCACTTATCCTGTAAAAGAGCGTGTAATATATAAGAACAAAGCAATTTTTTCAGTCCTTTCGTTTGGACAATATTAAGAAGGGGATAGTTTGGAATCAATGTGGGTTTCAACCTCCCCAAGAGTAATAATGGTGCATGATTTGAGGCGTGGCTTCTGATTCATGAAAAAGCCTGTGTGATTCTGCTCCACGAAAAGATGCATTATTGTGTTTCTACAGTGATTCCCTGGCTGTCACTTTGGACGACTGATACAACTGTTGCCAGAAGGATAAAAAAGCTTAGAATACACCGGCTGACTATATGCTGATTCGAATCCAAAATATGAAAGCAACTTAAAACGTGAGATTAGAAAAAATCTCAATGATCTTTCATTCCGCAAATAATACAAAATAGGTCAAAATCCTTCTGCCAAAGGTTTAAAAAAAAAAAACCCATTGCGTTGAGAATTTTCCAAAACAGAAGAGAGATGTATTCAATGCTTTCAATTTCATTAACAGTTGGATTTGTGAAACTTAATTTATTTTTTTGGGTCAACGAGCAGATTGAATGTTGACTGCAAATGTATAAAGGTCCCGTTCCGGTTTCACACTATATATGTGAAGGACTCCCATCAAATTGCATTTTTAAATTTTTAACCATTTTGTTAGTGATTTATTTGACGGCCATTTCATACTTCTTTTTTCCCTTTCCTACGTTTCATCGCTTCCTAATTTAGAGGCTTCCTAAAGAGCCATATGTATTCAATAGTCTCGTTGATCTTTACCCGGGAGATCAGAAATTTTCTTCCTTTCCTTGCTTGCAAGTGAATTGATGCCTTTTTTCCTTGGCAAGAATAAACAACTAAAAGAAAAGATTTGACGTCCCTTTTCCTTGAAGGACGGCACTTTATTTTTCAACCTTACTTTATGATTATGTTTGCATATTTTTCACCTTAGTAAATATGATTTATATTATCAAGATGCCTCGAGTCATCCACAATCATTCAATTCTGTATAGATCATTGATTCACCAAATAATTGGTTAATGAACATTAGTAATTTTGTAGCATATTTTATGAATGTTCTCGCATCATCTTCAACCGTGAACCCTTATTGAAGAGTAAAGGGAACTAGTAATTAAGCAATTATGCATTTCTCTGCCACTAACATTAGAGGATGCAAGTTCAAATTGCACCCATGTTAAATAATAACTTCCCACCTTCCATTTTAGCTACCTGCACTAAAAGTGCTTCCCAACTCACTTGAAGCAAACATTTAAATAATGGGACCGGGTGTGGGGATTAAAATGTGAGTTTGGTTCAATTTTTGAAACATGAAGTTAAATATATAGCTGGATGTATTGTATACTTCGCCACGCGGCACAGCTAATACTTAACTGATTTGAAGTTTTTGAATGCTCTTAACCAATTTCCTATTTGTCATAGAATGAATAATAAAACGTGCATTATTTATAAACATGTTATATTCATACTACTCCTTTCTTTTCTTATTTATCAATCATTGAAAAAGAGTTTTATAAATAAAATTTTGTATCATTTATACTAGATTTGGAATGATGAATCGCATTGGTGGAAAGAGGAAAACATGCCTCGCACATCTCCATCATTCTTGTAAACAACAAAATTCTTCCACCTAGCGCCATTGCTAAATTAGTGATCTTGAACTACTCCTCTGACAGAATATTATTTTATTCTTTTCATTAACCTTTCATATTCGTATTGAAAGCATAATTCAATTTCTTGAGGCGAAAGAAAAGTTGCTTCTCACGAGGGCATCCATCTATTTCTTTAGTACTTTATTTTGTAGTCAGAGTCTTGAGGGCATCTGTGAAAGACTTTTTCTTCCCCACTTTTGTGTATTTGTGAGTGTGGCACTCGGAGTCGGATCCTCTCTAGACATTGAAGTGTGTGTGTCATTTTGTGTTATACTATTGTTAAATCTATAGACTAATTAGGGAGTCTAGGATCATATATTAACCACATGTATTTCACCTCATGAAATGACGCCACTAGAAAATGTAATACTTTTTGTACATATATTGTATTTAGATTGTATAAAATGAACAATGAATCTAAAGTATTCAGAATTTCTCCTTAAAATATTTTGAGGGGACTTGACTAAGAGGGAGACATAGTAATAGTTATAAACAATGTTTTTGGGATAACTGGGGCTGAAATTGAGATAAGCTTAAACATATCTGAGAGGTATTTGGGAGGGAAAAAAATAACACTCAATGTTTGAATGTAGGGAACAATAGGGGAAGTGATGCCCACTTATAATGTTAGTGGCACCATGTGCTTCTCCGTCCAAACAATGATGGACTATAGAGGGTTTTCTCTTGGCTCTTTGTCAAACCTTGGTGGCACCGTGTGCTGGATGAAATATCTGACAAATTTTCTCACATTATCTATTTTTATTCATTAATTCTATAATGCAATGCAGATAGTTACAAAAGAAAAGGTACAAAAGAATGCGTTTTTTTCTTATTGTTTGGGACAAGGGAAGTCGAATTTCATTATGAGCTAAAAAAAGACACGTTTATAGAGATCTGAGTCTGCAGTAAACAACCTTTACAACTCATTTTGAATGGTTTTTATGTCACTATATGTAAACTAGTCAATTAAGTTTTCTACCGTAATTAATATTATATATGAAGAATGGCAATGACATTTGAAAACACATTACTTGTTTAAGGAGTGGTTCTGAAAATAACCAATGCTACGGAGGATTCTGATTTGTTTTTGGGGGTCTCAGGATATGGCCTTTGTCCAATTCTTCATAGGCCTATACGTCTATCTCTATGACTAAATCTATTGCATCATTTGCATCATAAGACTGCGTTAGATATTCGGCACCAAACGTTATGGATATGTATGGTGTTACGCACTTTGTGATGTGATTCATTGTGAATGTCCACGGAAAAGAGTATGGGCCATAAACATCATATTGTGTAGAGTACCATGTAATGTAATTAGATAAGGTAAGTAAGGAAATGAAAGGCTTTCTAAATTTCTATCTGCGACTTAAAAAGTCGTATGCAGTAAATTGAGTACGCGTTGTACTAGTTTGGTAGATTGATGGCGTTTCCATTTGAAATTTTAGGTAATGAACAAAAAAGTAATCGTACAATTATAGTCTTTGCGATCCCACAAGTTGAAACTTAACATGAAGCCAAAGCCTTTTGTCCCTGTTAAGAATCAGATGAAAGTGAAACAAAGCCTACCTTCTAATTTTATTTATTTTTGGCTTAGTTTCTTGTGCACCTAATAATATTGTTGAACCCTTCATTGCATAAATTTGTAACACTAATAGCTAACATTATGGTAGCTAACATCGAATACTTTTTTTTTTTAATCTTTTTAAGAATTTTGACAATAATATAAGAACAATTTAAGATATTATTACCACTAAACTCATGCTAACATGGAATAAGATGAGCATTCTTAATTCATTTATTTACTTAAATAATTAAATTCAAAGATATAACTGATGTTTAATATCAACTATTTATTGAAGGTAATTCATACTTTATCAATGAAAATTGTGTTCATCAAGAGTTTATTTAGTTTAACAGTGAAATAGAGTTGAATAGAATTAATTTAAAAAAGAAACTGAATTAAAGTATGCATAATTTTTGGATTAGAATACGGGAATTAAAATTTTTATGATATAATAAATAAGTTTTGTATGTATGAAATTTATAGGTTGAAAGCTAAATCATAAAATGTAATGAGTTATACTATTCACATAATATTTTTTTTTATAATACTATTTTTACTCTTTTATCACAACAGTTTGAAAAATGGCTAGTTACTCAAATAATTACTTTTGAATTTGAAAAGTAAAAAGAAAATTAGGCCAGAATTTAAAGAAAACAAATATTTAAGCCTTATTTTGTTATGAACTAGGGAAATGAGCGCCACATGGCACTAATTTTAATGAAAGGGTTTAGCATGACTCGCAGCCGCAGGCAGCACTTGTTGATGCATATAGTGAAATAATGGAATCCCATGTTTGCGTGTGTATAATGTTTTGAGTAATGTTATATTCTCCGACGTAATCCTCCTAAAAATTTTCTATTATTTCTTTTATGGTAAGCATATATATTTTTAAAATATTAAATATGTTTTTATTAATACTTACCATAAAATGATAACCGGAGAATTCGTAGGAAGATTTAGAATTATTCTAATATTATATTGTATAGTATTTCATTCCTAC